AGTAAAAAGAATTCCAACATGACTTTCACTCCCATCTGCTAACATCTTACCACATCTGCTTTATCAGTTTTTTTTGGATAATCCGTTTTTCTCAATAATGACTCTCCATAACTTTTTATAAACTGTTTGGAAGCAAGCTGCAGGCATTATATCCCTTACCCGTTTTCAGGGTGTGTTTCGTTGAAACAAGGACATTTTCTTACATAACCACAGTGTAATTATTAAAATTAGGAAATAAATGATATAATACTATTCAGGTTTCATTAATATTTCACCAATTGTTCCGCTAATAGTTTTTAAAAGAAAACAAAAAGATGCAGGATGCCATCCATGATTAATTTTTGTATTTAGTTGTCATGTTCTTGAGTCTCGTCTAATCTGGAACAGTTCCTCTGTCTTTCATATCTTGACACTTAAGGGTGCAGGACAGTTGTTTTGTAGAATGCCCTCAATTTGGGGTTGTCTGGTGTTTTCTCAGGATTTGGTTGAGATTATGCAATTGGGCAGGAATAATACAGAAGTGATGTTATGTCCTCGATGTACCATATCATGATGATGTTGGTTTGAACCACTACTGGTGATGTTAATTTTAATCACTTGATTAAGGTGGTGTCTTCCAGGTTTCTCCACTGTAATGATTTTTTTTTTAAATGGGAGATACTTTGAGACTTTGTAAATATCCTTCATCAGACTTTTTTTTTAAAGATTTTATTTAAATAAAGAGCATGAGGGGCGCCTGGGTGGCTCAGTTGTTAAGCGTCTGCCTTCGGCTCAGGTCATGATCCCAGGGTCCTGGGATCGGGCCCCAAGTCGGGCTCCCTGCTCCGCGGGAAGCCTGCTTCTCCCTCTCTCACTCACCCTGCTTGTGTTCACTCTCTCACTGTGTCTCTCTGTGTCAAATAAATAAAATCTTAAAAAAAAAATAAAGAGCATGAGTAGGGAGGAGGGGCAGAGGGAGAGGGAGCGGTTAGAAGCAGACTCCTGGATGATCAGGAGCCCAATGTGGGGCTTGATCCTAGGACCTTGTGACCATGACCTTAGCCGAAGACAGACGCTGAACCGACTGAGCCACTCAAGTGCCCCTCCTTATCAGACTTTTATCCACTAGTTTTAGCAGCCGTTGATTCTTGCTTGAACAATTAATACTTGCCAAACTTTTATATTTATTAGCACTCTAAGGAAGAGCTTCCCATACACACACACACACTATAGGTTACAATCTGGTAATATTTTTCATGCACAGATTGTTCATTAGGTGCCCCTCCAAGTTGTCTTTTGTGTCCTTTCGCTATGTCCCCATCATTTTTTTGAGCACTTCCTTTCTTTGGCATGAGATGTTCTAGGCTCATCATCTACTTTTCCTTTCCCAGATTTGGCATTAGCCATTTCTCTAAGGAGTCTGCTGCTTTTGCAGGGGAGGCCTGAGGATTTGTGAGTGGAAGAGTCAGATTTGTTTGAGTCTACCCAAATATCCCCATTCCACATCTCAAGGTCTCACTCCTTTCCAATCAGTGCCATAGGTTTCACCTAAGAGAATTGGCACAGCTGTGAATTCAAGACTGTAGTTCTGCAACTCACACAAACTTGGAGCCTGGTTTGCAGCCAGTTATGCCCTGTATCCACAAGAAATAAGATATCTTTTTTAAGACTGCCACAGTCTAGTATTCTGATCATGACTTGGCTTTCAAATTTAAAGCCTGCACTTACCGTTTTCTGTGAGCACCCAGTGAAGTAAAAAGTAGCCAGTTCATTTCACTATCCTGTTGATCATCATCACCACTAAAAACATCAAATGCATTATCTACTTGGTCTCTTAAGCCTCGTCTTCAATAGGCATTTCATACAAAAACAACCACAAGTCTTAACATATGGCATGCCATACGTTTCCAGATCAGATTTTCCACTGGCAATGAGGTTTTTCCTGCAGTTCAAGCTCAAACATGGTGGTGAACCAAACTCAGAAACACATCTTTGAGGGCCTGTTTCTCAGGACTAATCCAGGTGCAAAGCTCAGTATTGGTCAGGATCTGACTTGGATACAGAGCTCACTCTAGGTATTTCAGACGGAAGAGATTGAGTGCAGGGATATGTTTTAGGATGTCTAAAGGACTAAAGGAGCAAAAAAGGGAAGGGAAGATTGCTCATAAATTGACAACTGCACCTAGGCAACTGACATCAGCCAGGACTGGAGAAAGATTCCTCAGAGGTCATAGCACTGTCGACTAAGGCTCCTGGCAAGGACCCAGAACCTGGACTTCCAACTTGATGTGGCTGCCCTTGAAGCCGCCACCACCTGACCCTGAGTCCCTGATGTGTTCTTACAGCTGTCAGAAAGGGTCACTTCTCCCCTCCCGCCTTGCCTCTCACAAGAGCGCCTCCCATTGGCAGGCAGATGCTAACAGGAAGTCAGCTAGGATGGAAGTTTCAAGTGTCATGTGGGGATCTGACTACGTTTTGTTGCTACATTACACTGCAGGGCACAGAAAGTTGAGGATGGGGGACTGGGAGCAAAAAAGCAACACAAATGAATAAACAAGTGAGAAGATGCTCCCTGTTAACTCTATCCCAGAAATCCCAACTGGTTGAATCCAAATACTGAGTTCCTGTTGCATACTGGACACGATGGTGCTAGGTTTTAGAGATGCATTGGTGAATAAAACACAGCCCTTGCCGTCCTGGCATTCACAGTCACGGGGGGGTAGATAATCTATGAACACTTCATCTAATGGCACCACTACCTATATCTGACAAAGGATGTTCATCTTAGATACACACACCAAACAAAATAAATGTAAAAAGACCACTCTAATAAATGGGCAAAGAAAACTGAGCAGACCATTCACAAAAGAGGATATCCTTTGGTCACTAAATATGAAAAAGTGCTCAACTGTGTCAGTCATGGAAATGCATCTGCAATGAGACACCATTACATACCTATCAGGATGACTAGAAAACCAAAGGCTAGCAATGCCCGGTGTGGGTGAGGATGTGGAGCCCCTGGAACGCTCACACTGCTTGTAAAGTATAAACTTTATAAACGAACACTTGGGCAGACAGCTCGGCAGCATCTACAGAAGCTAAACACTCTGCCTCCCCTCTGACCTAGCAATTCTGTCATTAGGTTTATAACCAAGAGAAGCTAGTGGATATGTTCATCAAAAGACATGTTCAAGAATATCCACAGCAGCCGGATTCATAGAAGTTCTAGGAAGAACCCATATAGACACAGATAAATGGCAAAATGGATAGAAGAATGGTTAATTCATATAATTGAATACTATTCAGCAATAAAAACAAATGAGCAGCTACATGCAGCAATGTGGATGAATCTCACAGGATGTTGAACAACAACAACAACAAAAAGCCAGAAACGAGTTCATATCCTATGATTCCATGTATTTGAAGTTCAGGAGTAGACCAAACTCCTCCATGGTGACAGAAGACAGAATCATGCTTTGGAGTTACTGATGGGGTTGGGGGGCAGGAAGGACCCTGCTGGTGTGCTGGAGATGTTCCATATTGATTCGGGTGATATTTGCCCTGGTGTATACACGCATAAAAGTTCCTCAAGCTGTAAACATAAGATCTGTGCTTTTCACAGTATATATGTTATTCCTCAGAAAATTCACCAAAAAAAAAAAAAAAGAAAAAGAAAGAAAGAAATGAGAGTTTTACATAAATATAAGTGCTAAGAAGAAATTACGTGATGTGATGGGTAGATGGGAAGCTGGCTGATCAGAGCTGAGACCTGAATGGTGATGAGGAAGGAGATAGCTACGTAATGAGCCAAGGAACTGCTTTCTGGGAGATGGGACAGCAAGTGCAAAGGCCCTGAGACAGGACCACGTTTGGTGTGTTGGGGGAACTTAATCAAGACCAGTGGACTGGAACACTGAGCAGGGCCAAGGCAAGCCTTTAAGGTGGCTTTTCTAAGAATGGGGGTGGGGGGGTGGGGGGCACAAAGTGTGTGAGGTAAGGGGTGCTGGCAGTACTTTCTGAGAGATTAGACGAGTGAGGGAGAGAGAAACCTTTGATAACTTTTAATTATGTGGCTAGGACATCTGGAAGGTCGGGGGCTGGGGTTCCACTGACTGAGCAGGACTAGGGAGGCATGGAGTCGAGGTCGGTTTGGACACATTAAATTGGACATACTTTTTAGATACTCATGGAGCTGTTGGGGAGGCCGTGGGTGGTAGGGCTGAAGTTCTGCACCAGACCCGGGCTGGACACAGATGCCAGGAGCACACAGGTGGTGTTTCAAGTCTCAGGCATCTGGGAGAACAGAGAGCAAGAAGAAGAAACAGGGCATTTAATGACATGAGCTTTTCTGGAAATAGAGCTGCTGAGGGTTTGGATTGAAACTGCTTTAAAAGCGCTTCTGTTATTAACAAGGTCTGTTGAGTATTGTCGCCCCACCAGGCATCGAGAGCCCAAAAGTGAGCAGACTCTGTGCAGTGCTGACTGCCTGGGCTTCAGTCTCTTGAGCCAGGGCCATAGGTACTAAAATGCAGATCCCTGGGCCTACCCATGACCCTCGGATACAGAGTGCTGGAGGCATCTGTATTTAACAAGTTCCCTGAGTGAGTCTTTTTGCACATTGAAGTTTGAGAATCTTACTTCCAGTGGCTGAGGAGTGTGTGTTTGCGGGGGGGCGGGGTAGAGACAGAGAGAGAGAGTGAGAGGGCTGGGGGCAGGGAGAGAGGGAAAGAGCAATTTCCTCTTTCTTTCCCTCTCTGAGGGTGGGGCTACTTTGGAGTTAGGAAAGCAGTCTGTTCTGTAAGCTCTGCTGTGTGTGTGTGTGTGTGTGTGTGTGTGTGTGTGTGTTCGCGCGCGCGCGCGTGCTTATGTGTGGGGGGCGGGCACGGTGTCCCAGGAGGACAGAGTTTGCATTGATGAAAACCCTTCCCAGCCCTTTGATACCTCTTTCCCACCGCTCTGAAGTTAACTAGCTCAGTCCTCGGTGCATCCCGCTCTCCAGCCGCGCTCCCTCACTGGCCAGGATGGCATTCCGTGTGGCCCTGCGCATGGCACTGCTGCTCCTTTCTGGGGCCCTGGCCCCTGCAGTGCTCACAGGTAAGGGGCTCCCTTGACTGCTGCCACCAGCTGCCCGGGGCCAGGAAGCACCGTGTGGCCCACTGGGCAGAAGCCCTTCCCAGGAGACGGCCACCGTTTGGGGTGATTCTGCGGAGAGCTCCTATGAGATCAGCTGCCGGGAGCTGAGTCGATGTCCTGGGAATTGGTAGCCGTGGGGACGATGGCCCCTGAAGCAGGGGGGCGATCTAGGGAGCAGGGCCAGGGACGTTAGCTGCCTGGGGGACACGGGGCTCAACCCAGCATGCTAAAATCTGAAGGCTTCCAGATCTGGGAGTCAGGAGGGGGCACTAGGCATAGGGCAAACAGCTGAGGGACCAGAGGCCCTGGGCTCCTAGACAGAAAGCCCCAGAGCCCTGCTGTTTCACTTTTCAACCCTGTAAGCCCTTCTGTGCTGGCTTTCTGAAATGACCTTCCAGAGTGAGGACCCAAGTACTATGTTTCCAGCCCAGGAAAAATTCCAGAAAGAGCACAGGGCCTGAGACTCCTTAGCAAAACCGTGATGAGGACACTGGACTTAGCCTCAGTACTGATGTCAAAATGGCTGGGTCTGGGGTCCAGTGAGAAGGAAGGTCCCAATAGGCTCAGGGTGGCAGGCTCCCTGGACCTCAGCCCCAGTCCTGGGCATGGCTCTAGGGCCCTCTGCTGGGAGGGGTTGGCCCAGGCCAGCTTCAAAGCCTGAGAGAGAAAAAGCACAGGTCGTGGATGGTCTTTCTCCAGAAGAAAGCAGTCTCTGTTGGCTGTGAGGTGGGCTGTAGGAGAAGTATTTCAGGGCCCCTGTGTGTGTGTAGGTCGGGGCGGGGTGTCCTGGGGCTGGAGAGAGGTGTGGGTGGGGAGACCCCTGGAGACCTTCTCTGCAGCATGGGCTTTGGGGGAATGTCTGTGGATCTGTAGCGGTGGCAACTGGATGCCAGCCACCTGAGCATGGCCCTGGGGAGAGTTGCTGGGGGTGTGAGGCCTGGTGGGACAGCCACACAGGCACAAACACCAGGAAGAAACAGGGAGCGGTGAGTTGCTTGCGGGCATGCAGGCCCCTCTAGGCGCCCTGGGAAGAAGGCTGGCTTTGCTCCTGACTCTGTCTGCTAACTGCGTCTTAGCCTCTCTGTACCTCTCCTCATCTGTATCGTGGTGATAACCACAGTCAGTAGCTCTGCCTCCCTTGTGGGGGACTGTGGGCCTACCAAATTCAGACACATGAGCTTTCAGGGTGGGGCGGGTATCCTGGAGCGCTCAGTAAATGTTGGGGGAACGTGAATAAATGTCCCCAGCCCCTCTGGGTGCAGGGTGGTGTTGGGACAGAACCACCTCCCCATATAGGCTGGGAAAGTGCCCAGCCTCCCTTTATGTGGGAGATGTGCCAGCTGGGCAAGACGAGGGGCTGGTGGGATGCCCCAGGAATTGCGAAAGTGACCTGAGTATCGGGTGGCATCTTCTATGGACTAGATCTTGGGACTGTGGTCTTTGCAGATCCCCCACGCCCCACCCCATGCCCCACTCCACCCCTGCCTGGTGGTCAAAGTGGGTAGAGGTGAAGGTGCTGGCGCCTGGCTGCCCAGGTTCTGGGGCTGCCTGGAGAGCTCTGTCCAGTTTCTCGTTCCCTGAGTACCCAGCTCGTCCAGCCCAGGATGCTGGCCAGAGGCCCTGGATCAGACTGTGCATACACAGCCTGGGTGGGTGGGCTTTGTCCGCTGCCACAGGAATGTTTGGGGACGTGTTTGGCGTCTCTAGGACCTCACCTGGCCTCACCTCCCTCCATGTGTCCTACCAAGAACAGGCAGGCCAACTCCACCCCGGAGTCTTTGGGGTTTTGGCTGGCTGTGGTTCTTCCTGCCGTTCTGGGAGGGAGGATGTTTGGGAGGCTCTCAGCCACCCCACTCTGGGCTAGAAGCTCTGAGCAGGTGTGTAGAAGGTCTAGCAGGCCCCCTGCCCTTTGCTTGGTGGGCTGGGGTCCTGTAGCAGGCAGGCAGGCAGGGAAGGAGTGGCCCCGTGGCTGAGGTCCAGGCCTGGACTGCTGCCCTCCCTGTTGGTTGCCTGTGGCTGCAGCTACTGGGGTAGGGGGAGCAGGCCAGGTTGAGCAGGCGGGAGGCCAGGGCAGGGATAAAAAGGCCCTTCATGGCTGGCACAAAGGCAGTCTGTGAGCACGGGTGCCTGGCCTCGGGGCCCTGCGGTCAGAGGGAGTGTTAAACAAACCTATTTACCGAAAGGCAGGGTGGCTGGAGGCAGCGGGGCTGGGGAAGAGCCCACTGTGCCTGGGCCTGTGGCAGTGTCACGGGCCCCCAACTTCTCCTGGTTTGCTTGGTCAGAGTTGCAGGATGTTGCTAACTCTGGTCCTTGAAGTTTAGGTCTATCACAGGTCCTCCTTGGTCCTACCCGCCTCTCTGTCCTCACCTAACATCCCCCTTGGGGCTCACAGCTCACCGTCCATGCCCGTGGGCTCCATCCTCCCTGACTTTGCTTGTGCTGCTCCCTCTGCCTGGCTTTCTTTCCTTCCCTCATCTTCACTCCTGCTCAGACGGGCCCTCCTGCTGGCAAATTCCCTGACAACTGCTTCTGTTTAGGGCTCCCCAAGGCAGATTTTGGGGGGAAGGTGGGTTATTGCCTTTAAACTTTGTTTTCCCCTTTTATTACAGCAAATTGAGAAAATACAGAGACACGTAGATGAGGATAAGAAAAGGCTTTGGCCTCTTCCCGGCACCTGCACCTCCTCTGCTGGAAGGCTGGTGGCTGAGTCCAGGCTGCAGTTCGGGGCTGCATAAGCTGCAGGGAGCTGGCAGGCCTTTGGGGCCCTGGCTGTTTGGGTGCAGATGAGGCCTTGGGGGTCTCCTGTGATGGTCAGCGGCAGCAGATGCACAGCACACAGATCCAGCTGGCCTGTGTCCGGCTGGAGAGGCCCTGGGGCCGAGGCAGCAGCTCACGATGGTGGTGACAGCATAGTTACTACTTGTGGGCTGAGAGAGACAGGGGCCAACTCCCATTTCACAGGTTGGGAAATGAAGTCGGGGAGGGTGGGAGCGAAGTCAGTCTGCTGGGGTCCCAGGGTGACAGCGTGACAGAGCCAGGCTTTGGACCCAGCCGTTTTGATTTGGAAGCCTGTAGGTTCGGCCCCTCAAGCTTTAGGGACTGGTTGAGTGTTGGAGGAGGGTTAGAGGTGGGCACACACAGCAGGGATGAGGTGGCCTGAGCCACTGTGTCTGGCAGGGATGATCCAGGCTTCTGTGGGGAGCAGCAGAGTAAGGCTGGGTCACGAGGGGGGAGAAGGAGAGAAGGCCTGGGTGTGCCCCCAATTGCCCTGCTCAGAGGGTGGCCCACTCTCCCCCAGAGATGGCTCCTGGGCTCTGGCAAAGGGCAGAGGTAGATGCTTACCTGGGCCCTGCTAGCTGCAGGCAGCTGATTCCCCAAATGCTACCCAGGTTGGCTGGCTCTGGTACCCAGTAGCCCTGTGGTGGCCTCCCTGCCGTGGGTGTATGGGGACCGAGTGGGGGCCAGTGGCGTGTCCATTTACCTGGGAAGACAGGCAGTCTGTGAGCCCCAGACCGCAGGGCCCAGTAGTGGACATACTCAGGCTTTTTCTCTGGCTCAGCCCCTGGGAGCCTGAGGCAAGCATGTCTGGGGCCTGGCACTTTCCATAGCAGCTAGGAGACTTGCAGACCCCTGCCTTTCCAGGCAGGGACAACGGAGGACAGGGTGGTCTTCGCAGTTGGTGGGGGGCCAGGGTGGCCCCCAGACACCAGCCTTTTGGTTCAGCTTCAGGCCCTACGAGCAGAAAGCTTCCCCCACACTGTGTGCCAGGGACCTTTTGCCCGTGGGAGGCCTCCTTGCCAGGGCTGTTTTCTGAAAAGGGATGCCAGCTGGGGTAACCCTTGGAAGATAGGACAGGGGTCGCTGCCTGCAAGCTGAGCCTCAGAACTGATCCAGCCCAGGCCTGGGAGAGGCTGCAGGGGCCGGGCCTGGGGAGTCCTGGAGAGTTTGATTGGGAAGAGATTCTAAGTTTACATCGAAGTTGCAAAAATAATCCGGTAACTCCAGCAGGCTCTTAGATTCACCTTTGCCATATTTGCTCTTCTTCCTATCTCTGTCTCCCCATTTGACCCATCTGAATGTTGACCACTTGAGAATGAGTTGTAGGCCTCATGCCTTTTGGCCCCTAAGTGCTTCTAAGAACAAGGATATTTACATAACCATTCAATTATCCAAATGAGGACATGGACATCGATATAGTACTGTTACCTAAGCTACATATTCATACTTCCCCAGTAAACCCCGTAGCGCCCCCCATCCCCCATCCAGGAATACATGCTGCCTTCAACCTCCTCGGTCTCTAATCTGAAACAATTCCTCAGCGTTTGTCTTTCTTGACCTGGATGTTTTTGAAAGCACAGTTATTTTAAGACTGACCCTGAATTTGGGTTTAGCTGATGTTTCCTCGTGATTTGCCCCAGGTGGGCACTGTTAGCAGGAAAGACCGGAAGTCCCTTTGTGTCTTCCCAGAACAGCCCCTCTCTGGAAGCCGGCAAGTCGGAAAGCAGCTTGGCTCTGGCTTGTCTGGGCCAGAGGGAGCTCTCAGGGGTGAAGCCTGTGGAGGGAAATATGCCCCAGGGACTTGCAGACAGGCTGGCTAGAGCTGCAGGAACGACACAACTTCCCTGGCGGTTTCTGGGGAAGTAGTGTATCCTGCTACTTCATCGTCTGGGGGCTTTAGAGTCCCAGCAGCGCTCCTCCCAGTGTGCGCCCCCCCCGCCCCCGCCGCCAAGCCTTGGTTTTCTCAACTCTGAGGCAGGGATACAAGAGTTCCTGGCAGCTGGAGTCAACAAGATGGTGTGTCGTGATGCCCGCTGAGCCCATTCTAGGGACTGCGTGGGGCCTGAGCATCCTCGGATCACAATTGAGATTAGGCACTGGGGAGCCCTGACCCTGCTAAAGCCAATGGTCAGGCCAGGGCGGGGGGGCGGTGAGGGGTAGCCTGGAGACTGTCTGCCATTCTGGTCTTGAACTTTAACTGGGTGGCTGGGACCTCCTGTCTGGGAAGGATGGGTGGGTCCAGGGTTGGGGTAGTGCTGTGGGGCTCCTCAGACCAGGATCCTTGGTGGGGAGGGGAGTGGTATGGGGCTGGGGTTATCAACACACAGTCCTCTGTCTTAGCCTGCCCCCATTCCCTGAGGCCCCTGGGTACCCCAGACCTTGCTAACTCCCAACCCATGAGCAGAAATGCAGAAAATGCTGCACAGGGACTGATGTGCTGATTGAGCCCCAGCTTGTGGAGGCGGGGGCGGGGCATCGTCCCTTTCTTGGGGGCTTCCCTTACACTGACCACAGACACCCTTGCCCATCCCTCTGGCCCTGTTCTGTCTGGAAGCAGCAATATGCTGGCATCACAGTTTCTTAGGATATAGAGTCCCCTTGGGGTTTAAGCCTCAGAACATGGATTATGTGTGGGTGCTGGACCCCATGTCCTGGGGGCTGTGTGGCTCTGCCCAGGTTAAGCCAAAGGAGGGGGAGCAAAGGAGGAGTTTGCCTCTCCTCCCCACCTCCTGCAGCAGTAGCCCCTTCGTGGGGCTCTGGGTAGGCAGGGACCCTGGTTCCTGAAGGAAGAGTTGCCTCACCTTCCTGGCCTCTTCTGCAGGGTGAAGGCTGACCTGCCTGCCTTGCAGGGGGAGGGGTCTCTGACAGGTGTCAGGCATCTCACCCAGGCCTGCAGAGCCCAGCAGTTCAGATGAGGGACGGCGGGCCAGGCCGGAGTGAAGTGCCCTGCCCCTGCAGTCCCGAAGCTCTGCCGCCAGCGCAGGGTCCTCACAGCTGTTTTCTAGGAGAACCTGTTGGTACCCCCCCGCCCATCAGTCTGTCTTCACCGGGCTCGGGAGCAGCCTGGCCACAGTAGAGATCCTGGAGCGCCTGTGAAACGGGAGGCCTGGTGCAGGGCTGACCCCATAGTCCCGCACACCGCGCCACCTCCGTAGCCGGTTAATCGCGGGGCCCACGTCCCTGTCGGCCCTGCGGCCTGCGCCCCAGCGCCTGTCCTTGGCCTTGCAGCCGAGGGCCCGCAGGAGCCCGCGCCCACCCTGTGGAACGAGCCCGCCGAGCTGCCGTCGGGAGAGGGCCCCGTGGAGAGCACCAGCCCCGCCCGGGAGCCCGCGGCCACCGGCCCCCCGGCCCCCACCGCCGCGCCGAGCCCCGAGGACAGCACGGCGCGGGAGCGTCTGGACCAGGGCGGCGGTACGCGCGGGCCGGCCGGGCGGGGCGGGGGGGCGCGGGGCGGGCGGGCGGGGGCCGCGGGGCTGACCGGCCCTCCGTCCTCCGCAGGCTCGCTGGGGCCCGGCGCCATCGCGGCCATCGTCATCGCCGCCCTGCTGGCCACCTGCGTGGTGCTGGCGCTCGTGGTCGTCGCGCTGAGAAAGTTTTCCGCCTCCTGAAGCGAATAAAGGGGCCGCGCCCCCACCGCGGCGCGACTCGGCTGCACCCCCGGTGGCGCCCCCGTGTCTCGAGTGTGTCCGCGCGTGCGTGTGTGGGCGAGCGGGGCGGGCGACAACTCGCAACACGTGCTCGCGGGGGCGCCAGCGGGAGCCGCGAGTGCGCGCGGGGTCCCCCCGCATGGCAGCCCACGCCCCCGTCCCCGAAGGGCCCAGGGCCCGCCCCCTGCGCTCGGGCGCAGACTAACGCGCGGCCGCGCGAGCGCAGGAGAGGCGGGCCGAGCAGTGGGGGCTCCCAACGAGAGCCTGCGTTATTTGCGGCGCGGGGGAGGTTGAGGGGCGGAGGCGTCTTTGACTTGGTCAGCCAGGCCCCATCTGCCGGCTCGCCGCGCCAGACCCGTGTCTCCAGCAACTCCGGGAACCCCTCCACCCCAGGGAGCCCCAGGAGCAACCGGACCACAGTCCCAGGCAGGCTTCCTTCAACCCCGCGTTTGGCCCTGCCTCTCCTTTCTAGGTCATGTTGTTTTGCACACTTCCCGGGAAGCCTAGCTTTTATGATTTGAGAGAGAGAGAGATTTAAAATAGTGGCTGAGCTGCTCAGGGCATGGCAGGGAAGAAGCCTGAACTGCGTCCCTTTGGAGTGGAAAAGAAGACTGGAGACCTGGAGGAGGGACTGTCGGCACACCCCGTGGTGGTTTGATACCCTGGGCCTAGGTGTGGGTGCCGGTGGAGGGAAGCTGTTCTTCTTTTCACTGTTTCTAGCAACTCTTTTGGCCTCCTTAGCTTCCTTGAGCTCCTGACCACTCCTGCTCCAGCTAAGACCAGTTCTCTCCTCCTGCATTCTCCAGATGAGCCCCAAACACATGAGCTTTATAAGTTTCCACTTAGGAAGGACTGTTCTAAAACTGACCAGTTCTCATGAAGCTGTTTAAATTATTTCATTCCACATAACCTCTGCTAACCAAAGCCCTAGTTAGAGCAGATGATCCAAATCAGCATGCTGTTTACCAGCTTCAAAAAAATAAACTGGACAAGGGCCAGGACCAATGGTCACCCCCTCCCCGTTGTCCCAGGGTCGTTCCCCCCCAACCCCCCAAGAGCAGCATAGGGCTCAGGAATGGCCCCTCTCCCCCTGCCCCCACTGCTGGGGGACTTAAGTATGGGTACTCCCCCTGGGGGTGTATCACAGAGGCCCCATGAGTATCAGCCCCTCACTGTCGAGCCAGAGTGTTGCACATGTATGCATCTTCCAGAAATCCATCCAATTCTCACAGGGTCTCAGGTCTCAAGGATGCCAGGAATCATGTGGCCTGTGGGAAGATGCTACAAAGTCCCACTTGACCCAAATCCTGGGCTTCTAACAAAAGGCCTCTTCTGGCATGGAGGAAAGAGTGTCCTGGCAGAAAGAGTGTGGTCCCAAGCATGCAAGGCTGGGCAGGGTCAGATTCCAGACCCTCCACACTCCAGGACAGAATCAAGGGTGGGGGTGGGGTATCTGTGAGGGTTACCTGGGCTGGGCGAGGAGCTGCAGTCTTTGGGTAACTTGCTAGCACCAGAAGTGGGACGAAGTGTCCAAGGTAGGAAGGCAGCCCCGGCCCCATGCCTGGTCTTAGATCTCCTGTGGGATCACTGCCCACTGACAACCTCTGTTGCACTGTGATCTCCCAAACCTGCGTTCTCACTTCCACTGCAGCAGAAGGGTGTCCCCAGCTCCCTCAAAGAGCATCTTCTGTTTCTGGAATCCTTCCACAAGTTGAGGTCCAAATCTTCCACCCTGAGGTCCTAACCCTGGCTTTTTCCTGTCTTGGAAGCCACCTCAACCTCCTCCTTCAGGACATGCTACTCCCTTGGCCTTGCAAGGAGTTCCTCTTTCCCTGCCCAGAACCAAAAACCTCATTCCTGTGTGCAGCAGAGCAATAAAGAACAGAGCTTCACCTCCGTTATTTTATATATGATGCTTCTTTTAATGCAGCCAAAAATGATATTTGCTTTTCTCGGAACCAAAACCGATACAGGATGCAGTGGCCAATTCATTCCTCACAACACCTGGGCTCCTGAAGGGGCCAGAAGACACAAGTTACATCCAGCTTGTCAGGGAGCCAGAGGTGGCATGGGCCCTCGGCCAAGCTCTGGTAGGCCTGCCATGAAGCAGGGCCTGGCCGTGCAGCCAGAGGCTGGCAGAGGCTTGGGGAGGGGGGAGGACAGAGGCATTTGGTCTCTCGGTCCTTTGAATCGGAGACCAAGGGCTGCTCAACAAGCTCAGGCAAGGGCGGTCCATCTGCACGCCTGGTGGATTCTAATGGCTTCCAGGGTAGAGAAGGACATGTGCAGGGGGTCATGACAATCCTTCTAGCCTGTCCTTGGCCAGGGACACCCCGGGGTCTGGGGCCTCTTCCAGTGCCTGGGAAGGCCCCTGGAGCATGCCAGTCCACTTCCACCCCCTCTAAGAGACAAGAGGGACAGGTGGGAGAATACTGTTTAAAATACCCTTTCTTGTTTATAAATGCAGCAGAGGAAAGACGTAGGCACCCTTTCTCCAGTTGTCTGCAAGCGAGGGGGCCAAGACACATGAGCACTCAGCACGCGGCAGGGAGAGGGGTGGGGGTGGCTCCTGCACGAGGCGCCTGCCTCCCCCCAGAGCCCCTCCACCGTTCCTCGGGGTTTGCCTGCCCAGAGCTGCTCCGGCCTGCGCACCCGCGTCTTTCCGCCAGGCTGGTGACCCGGGCCGGGGGTCATTGCCGATTTCGGCTGCCCAGCTTCCTGCGATCCTTGTTCTGGCTGCGCTGAGGGTCGTCCATCTTGTGGACTCGGAAACATTCCTTGAGGTTCTGGGACCGGATCTTGGGATTCAAGATCTCCTCAGTCATGGAGCTGGGGAACCAGCCTCTCTCCTGGTCATGCAGACGCTCGCCAAAGATCCACCCTGTGTAGGGACGGGTCGGGAAGGGTCAGGCCGTGGGGGTGAGGGCTGAGGGCTGAGCCTCCGTCCTGGCCAGGGCTCCCATCTGTGCGGGGAGTAGAGGTGAGGGAGATGCAGGAGCCCCGCTGGCCTTTCCAGAGGGCACCTGCTCAAAGAACTGCTGCTGGAGACGCTTGGATTTTTTTCTCCCCAGGAGCTGGGAAAGCACTGCCCGGACCCCCTCCTGGGGAACGCGGTCCTGGGGCGCCACGGTGTGTCCCAAACGTATTGGCTTTGGAACCCATTCCTGAGCCCCTGGCAACTGTCTGCCTCTCAGCATGAAGCCAGGAGACTTGCCCAAGGCCGCCCCCAAAAGGGAGAGGTATCCAAGCTGACCACTTGGAGTCTGGAATGCCACCATCACCCTCTTGCTGGGCAGCCTGTCTCTGAGCCTCAGCCTCGTGATGTCTGCTTCTGCCCATGGGGCTCAGGCACCCCCCCCATCCCTCAGACTGGTGCAGAGTCCTGGGGGTGGGGGAAGGGGTGGCGCGAGTGGGAGAGGCACCCAGCCCCAGGCCTCACCGTCTTCGGTCTTTTCCAGGATGTTCAGGATGTCGGCCAGGTCCAGTGTCAGCTCATCCGGCTGCTGGGCCACATACGGGTGCACACACTGGACCTGGGGGCAGTCTGAAGGCAGGAGAGAGGGAGGTGGCACGTCCTCATCCCCCTGTCGCCTGTCCTGCTCCGGACCCGGCAAACCCTGGACAACCCCCGGGTTAGCAGGGCAGGCACGCCTAACAGAGCAGTGCAGATTCCCACAGCAACTGGAAAGGGTCTGTTCGAGGGAGAGGAGGGTGTGGCTCCAGAGCGAACATGGTTTAAAAAACAGCCAGGGGCTCTGAAGAAAAACGATCTATGCATAAAGGGATGAAGAGGCTGGGAGGGGGGCTTATTTCGGACTTCAGAGGGCACTTCTCGGACCGGGATGTGGTGCTGGGAGCAGTTGTGGGAGGACCAGGACTTGGAAAGCACAGTCAAGCCTAGCAGCCTCTCTGGGAGGCAGGTGGGCTGGCATCCTTTAATAGTTTATAAGGTTTTCAGACAGCTGGCAACCCCAAAAGAACACTGGCGTTTGCCTTCTGGGCCCAAATTCCTCTTGGTTTCCTTGTGGGACCTGTCACTTAAGACCCAGTGACTTATTTCATTATTAAGCATCCACGTGTTTGTGAAGCTCAGTTACACCGATGTCGTCCGTCTGGGTTGGTTCAAAGCCCCTCGGGCAGGGGAAGCCACGTGGCCTCTGGGACGGCCGGCTCGTAGGCACTGCCCCATCAGAGCGCAGAGAGCCCCGCCCCGCCCCCTGCCCCGCAGCGCCCCCGCCCCCACCCCGCCCTGCAGACGGCCTCCTCCTCTATGAGGGCACTTACCCACCTCCTCCTCTATGAGGGCACTTACCCAGCAGCCGGGAAGTGAAGGAAACAAACTTGGTTCTCCGGTTGGGGGCCAGTGAGGTCATCCAACGCTTCATCTCACTCCTGGGACATGGAGGAGGACACTGCCGAAACCACAGAGCAACCCCCCCCCCCGCCCGGGCGTGGTGCCAGGCATCCCACAAGGCCACAGCAGGACAGCTGGGGGGGTGCCCAGAATCCAGGGGAGAGGCATGGGGAACCCTACAGAATCTCCCTGACACGTGTGAAGGTCAGCTGGTGAGGGAGAGCCCCCCCCCCCGCCAGACACCCCAAACAGCCCTGAAGCCACAGGCTCTCAGACATGGAACCGGGGAAGGCTGTCGTTGTCCTCATCTGGGTGGTAGGAACTGGACCTAGATGGGGGGCGTGACCTTTGAGCTCCGTCCAGTGAGGACAAGTGCAGGGCATCACACGGGGCTCACAGAACCTCTGTCCAGACTGACCTTGGCTGTCCCTCCCAGAGCCCTGGGGCTGCAGGGCAGGTGGCCTGGCTGCTCAGAGGGGTGCTAAGATGGCCCTGGGACCACCCAGTGATGTGGGGCACTGGTCAGCATGGCCCCAAGGGCTCTACATCTCATCAGGAAAGAGAGGCCCTTCCAAAGCCCGAGCCCCAGAGGGGACACACGCAGACACACACACCCCAGTTGATGGCAGCCCCAGGCGTGTGCCGAGCCCCGGAGCCTCGCTCCACCTGGGAAGGAGACTCGGAGGTACCTTGGGAGTCGGGGGCAGGGCCGGCGGTGCGGGGCACTCACTGAGAAGATGCTTTCAGCATGTAGGTGGCCTCCCGGTCGTCTGCGTTCTCCAGCAGCCGCAGGATGAACACGTTCGCCAGCGTCTGGCCCTGGTCCTCCAGCTCCTCCACGCGGAGGAGTCCCCGCGGGGCCGAGTCAAACACTTGGTACTTGTCTCTGGGGGGACCCGGGATGGCAGGGTGGGTGTGTTGGTCCCAAGGAGGCCCCAGGGTCTCCCAGTCCTGCTGGCCCTCCTGTTCCGGCCACTCCTCACCTCCTCCTGGAAGCCCCCCACCTGAACACCGGTCCCCCCGGCCCCCCAGACTGCCGCCTCCCACAGTGACCGAGGGGTTAGACTGACGCAAGCCCCCAGGGCAGGGGCCCCCCCTGCTCACCCGGGGATCTGCCGGCAGATCACCAGCAGGTCATTGAAAAGGAAGAGGTAAATTTCCCGGAAGAGTTTCTTGGTCCGCAGGGTTCGGGATGTCTTGGGGCCTGACATCTGCTGCAGCTCACCCTGCTTCAGCAGCCAGCGGGAGTGGGAGATGATCGGCACCGACTGGCCGGGCGGGGGGGACGGCGTCAGGTCAGCGGCGTCCCTCCACGCCCCCGCCTCCCTCCCGAGGCTCCCCTGGCCTCACTGGAGTGCTAACTGGAGGAACAGCATTGGGGGGCCGCATGGGGGGATGGAGCAGTGCCAGGCAAATGCGGAAGGGCATGGGCGTGCGCGCGTGTGCATGAGGGTGCACACTCCCATGTACACGGGCATGTGTGTGGCTGTGTGGATTTGTGCCTGGGTGCAGCTGTGCGTTTGTCTGCCGTGTATGTGCTTGTTTCTAAGCGTGTCTATGTGCACTTGTGTCTACACGGGTGTGTGTGTGTGTGTGTGTGTGTATGTGGGGGCACCTGCAGAATCAGAGGGCGAGCCAAGTTCACAGGGGAGAGGAGAGAACCTGGCGCCATGGGACAAGCAGGCCAGGTCTGCAGGCACCCGCTGCGTGGCTCAGGGGGAGGCTCCTGGCACCCAGTGGTTGGCGCAGCAGGTGGAGACATGGGGGGAGCCCAGAAGGCCACAGCTGGGGGCTCAGTTCCTAAACACAGCAGGACCTCAGGGACCCTCAGTGGGCACAGTGTGCTCATGTCACCAGAAACCAGGCCCCAGGGACCCTTCAGGCTCACTGATGCTTGAAGCTTGACATAAAGTCGGGGGAGGTTGGTCACTGCTGTCAGATTTTCAGTCCCCCCCCGCCCCCCATGTAAGAATCCCTGGAACGGTCCTTGTCACATGCTTCATGTCAACTGCTCAAGGTCAAGCCAAGAAATGAGAGCGGGCAGCTCCAGGGTCCTTGCACACTCAGAAGATAAGCACAGGCCAATGTGACGGCGTGGTCACGGCGGCAGGGGCGGGGGGGGCACAGGCAGGGGCAGCGAGGGGTGCCAAGAGAGATGTCAATGAAGGTGCCACTGCACTGAGACGCAAGGGTGGCCGATCACGGAACTCGAGCAGGGACAGAGATGCCCCCAGCCAGCCCAGCTGGGCTGGGGACACATGGACGGGTACAGGCTCACCTTGATCTTAAACTCCATCTTCTTCTGAATGCTGATCATCTGCTCCGTGCGGCTCATCTTCCTGACACCCTCGTTGCACGCTTTTACCACCTGGCATAAGAGGGGGGACACGTGAGGCCAGGGGCACCCAGCTGTTCCCGGCCACCGCCTCCATCCACTCAGGCCCCAGAGTGCGCGGACACCATCTGCAGGGAGACTGGCTGGCCCGCTCTTTGCCACGGCCCTCCATTCTGGGGGAGATCATTAAGAATTGCAATAATTTTACATGCACTAAACTGGAGAGCAAAGCAGCTTGGAAACCACAATCGCTTTTTGCAAAGATTACAGTGGGATGAGCAGGTGTGCGAGGGCGGCACCTGTGTACGCCACCAGCGAGGTGCACGCGACTGGCTGTCTTCACCCTCTGCCTTTTACTTCTGGGCACTTGCTCAATTCTTTTTTTTTTGTATTGAACATCAATTACTTTTATAAACTAAAAAAATCTACCTTTATTTTTTATTTTATTTTTTATGGATTTTCTTTTTTAAGTAATTTCTACACCCAAGAAGGGGCTCAAACCCACAACCCCGAGATCAAGAATCGCATGCTCTACCGACTGAGCTGGCCAGGTGCCCCTAAAAATCCACCTCTGTTAAGAAAAAGGTAAGCTATGAGAAGCGCAAGTGTAGCTTTCATTAGACAAGAAAGAAAGGGAGGTGACAGCAGAGAAGAACTTAAGAAACAGAGCCTGGCCCCCCACACACGGGCCTCTTGTGGGTGGAGATGGTCACCAGACTCACCCTCTGGGGCCCAGTGAGGGCTGGGATGAACCCCCGCCTGATCAGGTGGCCAACTGGTAAGGCACAGGGGGACGGGCCGGCCGGGGAGACAACTGTGAGAAGGAGCCCTCATGGCTCCAAGTGGCTTAGAACTGCCATCCGATGGCCACCGAGGCCAGTCCTTTCACTGAGCTGCCGCCTCTGGTACAAGAAGTGGAAAGGGCCCCCCAAGCCCAGGCTCTCGCCCGTCACAGTCACGGGCACGACAGAGCGGCCCCTGCCCCTCTGCCAAGAGCTGGCTCGCAGTGAGGACGGACACACATGCCGACCCCTGCACATCCCCTACTCTGCTGGCGACCCCCAGGAGGAACCTGGGGGTGAGGAACCTCTCCAAGGGTGAGCCATGGACATGGCGTCTTCCCTCTTGGGCAGGAAAAGCCCAGGGCAGACAGGAGGGGAGCAGCCTGGGGTCGGGGAGAGGCATGGGGAGGAAAGCACAGGGCGGGGCTATGTCAGGGCACAAGAAGAGCCAGATCCAGCCCCCTCGGGCGTCACAGGAGGGAAGACACTGGAAGCAGGCAAGGCCAAGAGTGGGGCCGCCGGTGGGGGGCAGTAGAGGTCACCACGGCTGCGGCCTGGGCCAGCCCTGGCACAGTGACATCCGCTCAGGCCACACCTGACCTGTTTTGGGAACTCAGTGATTTTTCTTTTCTTTTCTCTTTTTTTAAAGTAATCTTTACGCCCAACATGGGGCTTGAACTCGTGACCCTGAGCTCAAGAGTCACCTGCTCCCCTGACCAAGCCAGCCAGGCGCCCCTCAATGACCCTTCTCAGTTGCAAAAGCAGATATTAAAAATGAATTTGCAATTTCCAAAGACACAGCGACAGAGGAGGAGGCGGGGGCAGAAGGCAGGTGTCCGGACAAGGAAAACTGTTCACTGGGAAGAAAGGAAGGAGGAAGCACAGCTCACCATTTCCAGTTCTTTGTGGGCATCCAAGGCAGTGCACTCACGCTCAGACCTTTCTTCCACTCTTTTCAGAATGTTCTGAGCGCAGGAAAATCTGCATTAATTTGATCCCGTGTGGCATATCCTCCCCGCCCCGCCCCCATGAAGCAGTGGCACAATGAAGAGCCCAGTGGGGCGCAGGAGAGCCCACAGCAGGCCCAGGACCGAGCATCCTGACCCACATGGGGCCCGGCTCTAAAACCATGACCACAAGTCAGGCTCCTGCAGAGAGTTAACCATGAAGGCTAAGCTGCAGCCCGAGCTCCCCCCGCCCTCCGGGGGCTCAACAAGGAGACCAGAGAGAAGCCAGTGGCCCCGTGCTGGCGGGGTGGCCCGCCAAGGAGGTGGCCCCAGAGAGGGGACGGGCATGCTCAGGCCAGCCCTGGCCCCATGGGGCGCACAACACTCATGGCAGGCATGGGGTGGGGGCGGGCTTCCCTGCCCGGCCCCTAGGACTACCGTTTGTAGCCGAGTCCCAGTGACCCTGAGACTTTGTTAATTCTGGTCTTACTGATGAAAATGCGTTTTTCCCAACTGTTTGATTTTCTTGAATTAACAAAATGAGGCTTTTTGATCACCTTTGCCTCAGACTCGCTTCCGAACACTTCCCTGATGGCCCCAGGCCGCCACCGGCCTCCCCTCGCCCCCATGCTTCCTCAACACATTAAGCTAGGTCTTGATCTTACTTTTGTTGGTTTTCATTGAATAAAAATTAAAGATTTTTATATATCCATATATGCACTTTTCCTATGATTTCTTAAATGCTCCCCCCTGTCTTCTGTTTCAGGTTTTCCAAGTTAAAAAAAAAACACACATCCCTTCATTGACCAGTGTCCTGTGCCTTGGGTTTGTGCTCCCTGAGTTCTCGGAGAGCGCCCCCTCGGGCTGTCCAGGGGGTGGGGGTTGCTTCCTCTGACGCCCCTCTCTTTGGTCTCAGGCCTCTGGGCCTGGTACCCCCCTCCCCTACTGGGACCTCGCCTCCTTACTCGGCTGCCAGGGATTAGCTAGCTGCCCCAGGACTTTGGCCTCCCCCCCGTCTGACCTCTGAGCTCCCCTAACTGTGGCTCGCAGGTCACCCTGTCAGCTCATCGCCCAAAGAGCCACGGCCAGATCCACACCATCCACTCCCTCTGCCGGGTGGACCCAACCCCCCGCCCCTTAGCCTGTGGCAGGCACGAGATCCCCTTTCAGGAAATGTCCCCCTCTCCAGGCTTCCCTGGCCCCAGCCCTCCTGGGCTTCCTCCTTCCCCCTACGCCCCCTTGGGCACTGTGTCCCAGGGCTGGGTCCCGGGAGCCCTTTCTCTCCTTCCTTGATGGTCTCTTTCACTAAATGCCACTCGGATGCCGAGAGGCCCCGCGCTGACTTCTCCCTTGAACTCTGCACTTGGAGATTCGCTGGCTCAGTCGTCTCAAGCTCAGCGAGGTCACACGGAACCCTGATGCTCCCCAGCCTGTCTCCCCGCCTCGGGAGGGGCTGCGTCATCCCTCACGCTGCTCCAGCTCAGACTCTTTCTCCCTCTTCCCCGGAGTAGCAAGTGGGCATCTCAATTCTGATTTCCCTCCAGGATCTCCCCTCCTCCCCACCTCCCACCCTCCCCGCCTCTCCCCCAGGCCAAGCGGCCTTTCTCCCATAGCTTCCTGACCCGTTCTCCCATTTGCCCTCCTGCTTTCCTGCCCCTCGCTCTGCACAGGCAGCGTTGTGTGCGCTCACCGAAGGCAGTCCGATCAGGCGACTCCCCGTCCTGCTGAAGAATGAAGCCAGCATCTCACCTGGTCCCTCGGGGCCTCAACTGGCCTCCCCACGTCTCTGCACTCACTCCTGTCAAGTTCCCTCAGCTCACCACTGGCCCTCCTGCCTGTGAGCCTGGCTGCCCCAGGGCCTTTGCATAAGCAGTTACCTGTCACCCGAATGGCTCCTCTCTGTCAGCCAAGTGCTCAGCTCAGACGTCACTTGTCTAAGAGTCTTTCTTGACTGCCCCCAACTGGCGGTGGCCAGGCAGTGCCCCCCCCCCCCCCCCCCCCCCCCCCCCCCCCCCCCCCCCCCCCCCCCCCCCCGTTTCACTGGCCTCCCGGCCATGACCACTTCCCACTTGTGTGTGCTTGTCGATCTCTCTCCCAGACTATGGCTCCCCGGGAATAGGGGCTGAGTCCCCCACTGCCTGGCACACAGTAGGAGCTTCATTAGGGTTTGTGGAACAAATGGACTTCCTAGAAAGCTAGCAGAGAGCTGGAACGACCAAAGGAAACGGTCTGCAGCGGGAGAAGCATACGCGAGCCCGGTCTGCACGTCGGGTGGGAGAAGCTGGTACCTGGACCAACAGCTTGAGGCGCGTGATCCTCTGGAAAGGCAGGATGAGGAAGGAAGACAGGGGCAGCCCCCGGCACTTGGGGTCCAGCTCCAGCTGCGCAATCAGCTCCCGAAAGGCTGCCTTCTCCTGGCTGGGGGACACAGACATGAGAGTGGGTCTCTGGCTCGCAGGCGGCGTGAATCGGAAGGAACCAGACAGCCCACGGGCACGGAACACGCGTTGAGTTCTTGTCTTTTAATGGAAAATCAACTGTTCATGTGCAAGCCAGATAACAATAGTGACTTCACATGCCCCGGCCCGTGAAAACTTAGCAAAATATGTTGTGTGTAGGAAGGTAAGAATTCCTCGTGTGGCCAAGTCTATGACTCAGACGTGGCATTTGGTGATCTACGCAGCAGGGAACCGTGGCAAGGTGAACCCACGTAGTGACAGAAGCGGCAGCAGGCTGGGGACAATGGCCGCAGGGCCCGGCGCCGCTCCTGCCAGCAGACACGAGCCGGTGGCTCGGCAGTGGGGAGCGGGGGCCGCCCTGACGCAGACTCCAGGCACGTCAGCAGGGACACCGGCTCGCCGCCGTCCCCTGGGGCCCAGACACCCTGCGCTCGAGAGGCGCGCCATGTACCCTCGGCCCTGCAACGCCGGCATCTGTTCTCCTGTCCGCTCGCTTGTGCTCAGAGCTAGCGTCCTGATTCCCTCAAGTCCCAGTTTTCAACCCCTGAACGGAAAACACCAAACCCCCGAATGCTCAAGTTTTAAAACCTCCACAATGAGCGACGAGGCTGAACGGCAAGGCCCAGGGGAGTGGAACGTTCAGATGTCACTTCTCAGGGAAGCCTCTGGTGCTCCTGAGTGCAGCTAAGGACACATCCCGGGTTCAGCTGTCACCGGAGCGTGGCACACACGTGTGAGGCAGTCAGAAGAGGCAAACCGACTGGAAAATCACTTCCTCTACCCGAACCCCAGGGAGGCGGACAAGTGGGCAGATGAGTAATGAAGTCAAGGGTGTGGCTGGAACGCCACAAACACGCCCCCCGGCCCCACCCTTGCCTTTGGCTCTAGTTCAAACCATCCTCCCGACTTCCTGGGCCACGAGGGGCCCTCCCGGCCTCAAACTCTCTTTTCTAAGCCTCACAGAGCTCAGCCCAGCCGTTCCGGACACGGGTCTGGTGGGCGCCGTGGCTGGTGGTCTTGGGGTCAACATTCCTCTCGTGACCCCGCAGGCCCCGGAACGTGCCAGGCGTGGAGACTCTCCCGGGAAAGCAGGGGTCCCAGGACGGCGGCTGGGTGTCCCGGAGGGAGAAGCGACAGCCCGCAGCCGGGGGGGCGGGGGGGGGTGCACTCACAGCAGCTGTTTGTAGGTCCTCTCCTGGTAGGTCTGGTTGCTGACGTAGGTGATGTACACCGAGAAGTGGTTGGCCGCGTAATGGTACACGATGTCGCACACATCCGAGATGACAATGTTCTCCTCCATCCGGCGCTCCAGCTCCAGGAGAAACCTGCGGCGGGACAGGGGCGCGGGGCGGGGGCAGCGGCTCAGGTTAAGGACGCCTGGACAGGGACGCTCAGGACACATCACCGCCACCGGGCCTGGCTCGGGCAAAGCCACAGACGCGGCAGGACGTGATGCCCACACTGAGGGCACGCTTGGTCACGTCAGGGAATTATTCGTCCAGTGTTTTTAGGTGCGTAATAGCATTAGGAGTGTTTGTCAAAGAGAGAGAAAGGGGCCTTATGTTTGACGCACGTACTGATGAGCTCACGGAGGAGGTGACGACGGGAATTCGCTTCAGCGGGATCCCCTGGGTGGTGGGGCGGGTGGGGGCGCGGGCAGACCCAGATGCCGGGCTGGGGGTGGGCTCGCCACACTGGTGTCTCCGCTTCTGCATGTTTGGAATTCTCCACGATAAAGTATGAGTAAACGCATAAATAAAAAAACTCCCTTTCCCCAGCAGGGTGAAGTGGCAGAGGCCGAGGGGTCTCTTGGCAACCGTGCGCCCGAGCCCACTGGGCGGGGCTGCCAGGAGGAGGTGGGTGTCCGTGAGGAGGAGGAGGGACTCATGGGGGGCCCACAGAGTGCCCGGGGCGCTCCAGGGGTGGAGGGACCCCTCCTGCCACACCGCGGCTTCACATCTGAACGTGCGCGGCTGCCCCAGCGCACCCAAAAGCTGAGTTTTGCGCTTTGAGCTGCAGACTCCGTGGCCCAGCGGGAAATGGTCAGTGTAAGTTCTATCCTAAGAGTATGACTGGCGTCCCTTTCTTCTTTGCAAGAATCAGTGAATGGTTGTTTATTCCTCCTTCAGTTAAGCTCCTCCCATCCTTCACAGGCAAAACCTAAGCACGGTTCCAAAGCCACTGCCACAAATTATTGCAAACACCATCTAATCGGAGGGAGAAGGCGTAAGTCCAGGACGGGGCTCTGCACTGGCCCCCAGACAGTCTTGGGGCCCTGCGCGCGCCAGGCCAGGGTTTTAGGACACTGGGATAAAGAGCAGCTCACGCGGACTCCCGTGGACCTGGTCAGGACGCCCGCCACACACCTGTCTGACGGTGGGGGACACGTGGAGCACTTGTGCTGATGGGAAGGGGTCTGCAGGTAGCAGGTCTGTCCAGGGGCACGTGATCTGCCGCCCTGCTCGGAGGGGTGGCAGATGGTTGCGTTCACGTGTTTGTTTGTATCTTACTACAGATAATTTCAGACACACACAAGCAGAGAAGCCAGTGTAAGGAGCTCTCGCCACCAGCTTCAGCCATGCCCCAGGTGAGGGGAAGCTTCTGGAAGCCAGGCCCCACAAAGCCCAGAGCAGGTGGCTCACCGCTCACTGACGGCCATGACGTCCAGGACGTTGGAGAAGAGGATGTGAGCCTCGGACGGGTGCAGGATCTTCTTCAGACGCTCATTCTCCATGAAGTGAGACACGAGCAGGCTCAGGCTTTTGTAGTAGGAGGCCTCAGAAGTGACCAGCTCAAACATGGCCTGCATCGGGGACAAGAGGAGGGCCAAGGGTCACCTTGCAGGGGGTGTCTACTGCGCTCCCAGTTAAGAGACACAGAGAGAGGCAGGCCCGTGTGCGCGAGGGCCTGTGGCGTGCGGGCGCTTCCACACACTGGCAGCGAGCCCCCGTCTGCACAAAAGGTAGAGACAACATGCTCACGGCTCCCCGTCTCAAACACTGGAGACCACCTAACGCCCGAAACACAGAGCAGGTGAAAACCCAAGAGGTCAGTCATCTATCAGAGCCCCAGCAACTGCTAAGGGTGATGCAGATGGTCTCCTGGTGCAGAATGGGTGTGAAAATCCTTACGGGGGGGACGCCCACCCTTACACGCCCCCAAGGCCGGCTGGAGGGACACGGGCCACAATGTCAACCACACATATCAGCAGGGGGAGCAACTTATATCTTTAACTTGTCTGAAAATTGAAAAATGAGCATCTATCATTTCTTTCACGGTCTAATTTTATAATGTAATTGATAAAACAATTTTCGTTTTGAAAAAGAAAAAGAAATCCAGAATTAATAAGCCTTTTGGAGGCACCCTTATTCTGTTGCATGACTGCTACCTGATCACTGAGCCTCTGTGCTCTCTGGTGAGGAGCTTCTCTGGAGTGAGGGCGCTAGCTTCCGGCTCACCTTCCTCCCTTGCTCACAAGCAAACCAACGACCCTTCCTGAGGGCGGGTTCGGGTCCCACAGTGGTTGCCCAGAAGGGACCGTGTAGTGGGGTGAACCGTGGACCGCCCCCCAAAAGCTCTGGCACCTATGAATGTGAACTTATTTGGAAACAAGTACTTTACAGAAGGATGTCAAGGGCACTGCCGGAGATCAAGAGTCTAAATCCAATGACAGGTGTCTTTAGAAGAGAGCTATCTGACGTGTGAGGGACATCTGACGCGGAGGCACGGGGAGGAGGCCATGTGAAGACAAGGCATAGCTGGATACGCTGCCCCATGCCGAGGGCCACCTGCAGCTAGAAGGGGCAAGCGGCACCCCGGAGCCCTCAGGGGCAGTGAGGCTCCCGCAACGAATTTGTTACAGCGGCCGCAGGAAACGATCGCAGACAGCCAGAGAAGGGGTGGAAGCGGGAGGGGGAAGAGCACCGGGTCTCCGGTCCTCCCCGTGCCCCGACCACCCCACATCTCACTGCAACCCTCCCGCCACCGGCCAGAGCCCTGATGCAGGGCTCGAGGCTCTGGCCATGAAAGCTGGAACTCCAGGGCTCTGGAAGGCCGGGCAGAAGGAGACAGGGAGGGACTAGCATTTGTTCCAAACTCAACAGGAATCCTCCCAGGTCCCCCAGGAAGGGCATATAGGAGCTCCCGTTTCACCACAGGAACCAGATGCGGGGGCGATGTAATGCCCCCCAAGTCACCCATGGATGATGGAAGAGCAGAGACTCAGCCCAAGGGTCTCCCGAGCACCACGCTGCCCCGTGAGAAAGAAGGGACATGTTTGTAAGTTGGGGACACGCGGTAGCATAAACCTGCCCAGCAACAGTGACAAAGTTCACAGGGAAGTCACTCCGGGGGTCGTCCACCCATCAAAGAGCCTGGGCCACTGCAGCAGAGAGTCTCCCAGGTGCCCAAGGGTCTGCACCTGACCTGGGCTGACGGGAGACGCATCCCCAAGTCACGGCGGCCTGGTCCACTTAGCGGACGAAGCCACAGAAAGCACGTCCCACCGGCCTCGCTGGCGGCCCCAGCGCTCGGCCTGCCGACGGCTACCCACTGGGACGGGGTTGACATCAAACCGCGTCCCCGCTGCTAAATTTAAGTTTCCTAAGAAAACGTCAAGCCATTGCAGCTTGCAAGTTCTAAGCAAATATAACTAACCCCCCCTAAACTGAGTGCCGCAGAGAGGACACAACATCGTGTCCAACCCGTGGCCCCGTCTCGCCGAGTGATGCGCGTTAGGCCCGCCCGGGGTTGCACCTGCATCCCCAGGCCCACGGCATTTTGTCTGCGGGGGGTCAGGGGGCCGGGGGCAGCGGGGCCAAGGCAGGAGGGCCTTTCAGCGGCTGGGCCTGACTCGCTGCTCACAGACACCGGCTGAGCCCACCGCCCGCTCCGCTTCCTTCGCTGACAGGCCATCAGTCGTCCGCGAATTTGGCTGTTTGTCTTATGTTATGTCACGTTATTTGCTACGTCACTATGGTTGCGTTTTCCTTATCAATACCCTTTTTACTCTCATTCAGGCCTCGTGGTGGCAGCGCGGGGCCAATGGGCATCTGGGCCCTGTCTGCTCTCCAGACTCTCACTCACTCACTCGCTCATTCACTCACTCACTCATTCATTCACTCTTTCACTTATTCACTCACTCGCTCACTCACTCATTTACTCACTCATTCACTCATTCATTCCCTCATTCACTCACTCATTCATTCACTCTTTCACTTATTCACTCACTCGCTCACTCACTCATTTACTCACTCATTCACTCATTCATTCCCTCATTCACTCACTCATTCATTCACTCACTCCCTCATTCATTCACTTACTCACTCACTCACTCACTCTCCCATCTGCTCCCATGTTTACTGAGTGCCTGTTTAGGCTCCAGGCATTCAGTGGCGAGCGTGGCCAACTCCCTGCCACCACGGAGCTTGTGTCCCAGGAGTGGGCACAGAGCAGACAGGAGTACAACGCTTTTGGTCAGGCGGTGAGAAAGGGCACGGAGCAAACGGGGACAGGTGTGTGTGTGTGTGTGTGTGTGAGAGAGACTGTGTATATATGAATGAGTGTAAGAACGTGTATGTGTGTGTATGCGTGTGTGTATGAGAGTATGCGTGTATGAATGAGCATAAGAATGTGCATGTGAGTGTGTGTGTGTGAGAACGTGCGTGTGTTGCTTACAGTCAGCTAGACTGACCCGAATTTTATGGATCACGGCTCGTCTCCCAATGGTGCTCTTAGTGCTGTTTGATGAGTATTCTGTTTGATTTCTGCCAATACTCCTGATACACTTCCAGTTTTTTCCAGCCTGTCACTACCAAGCCCGCTCCTGCCTGGGTTCTTTTCAAGGGGTAAGAGCCGCTCAACTCTGGACGCTGCGTGGGAAGGGCCGGGCCAGGTGCTTCTGCAGTTGGCGGGGATGGTGGTGGGCCTGGCGCCCGCCCCGGGCAGCTGAGCAGCGGAACGGTCAAGGCTTCTGCCTTGGAGTTAGCCAGACCTCGGCCATGAATGAGAATTGCTTTATCCAGCTAAGCCTGTTTTCATGCGCACAAAATGGGAACAACAGTCCCCAGCGGTCCTCAGCCTGGAGCCCATCGCAAAGCACCTGCTGGACGCCCAGGGTCATTACCAAGCTGACATCAGGGCGCTGCCCTCACAGCCTGAGCTTCATGGGATGGAGCTCCGGCCAGAGGGGTTAAGAGGGGCTTGTACTAGGAGGTGACACGGGATGTGACAGCAAGCCCATTCCCAGGGGTGCAAATGCTCATGTGGAGAAGGATGTGGGCACCTGGTGGGACAGTGGAGCTGGTGGCCAGGCCACAAGAGAGGGCCACGGAGGGAGGAACAGGCTCCTGTGTGTATTTTTGAGACTGTCCCCCTGCCCGCTATATAGGCCAGAACCACACAGCCCCGTTTTCCAGGGTCCGGGAGGGCTGCTCCTGCTCTGAATGTGTTCACACCATTTCCCGGGCTGGCCTGTGGATGAGAAACCATGTCCGGCTCCCTCCAGGCTACCCACTGCGCTTGGAAGGCACTGGAGCCTCTCTTTTTCAATAAATTCAGATTGTTCTCCAAAGAAAGGAAACGACAGAGAGAAATCATTGGTGTCCCAGCTGGGACCATCACGGTTCCATCTCACACGAGCCGGCCAGATTTAGCTTCAGCCGGCAACATCTCCCCTCCCTGGGGCCGTCCAGAGACGTGTGAGACTGCAGACCCCAGAGCAGCACTGCACCCCTCGGATACAAGACACTCCAGAGACGCACAAAGCTGGGGCCCCTCGCCAATGCAATGTGGGCCACGGGGTCTGCTTGGGGATCGCTGGGTGCTGCAGGCCGTCCCAGCACGGGCCGCGGGGGCCCAGAGTTAGCACCACCTGGCCATGCTGTCCGAGCAACGCATTTGAAGAAACAAATGAGACCCCAGCCCATCAGCAAGGGGGATGAAAGGGGAGGCGTGGATACCAAGAAAACCCTGGTGATTCCCTACCTTGGTCTTCACCGACACCGTCTCCTTGTAACTCAGGATGCTTGCTGGAACCCCCCACGCGGTGCCTTCTGTACGGCTCTGGATTGTTTTCAGCATCCCCTGGCCTCAGTGTTCGTGAATCACAGCTGTCTGAGGCCCTCACCTTCCCTTTATCACGATGTGGTCATGGGACCTGAGTCACCAGGGTGACCTCTCTGGAGGTCAGAGACTAAGGCCGCGAGCCTCCACTGCCATAGTTGTCTGGTGGGGCATCGGCACAGCCAGGAAACAGAAGCACCCCCCTCCCCGACAGTCCGGGGTCGGGGTGGGGCTCGCCTCTTCCCAAAGTCCCTCTTCCCAGGACAGGCTGTCCACAGCGACCGGGTCTGAGCTCCCATCTGAGCAGGTGAAGGGAACAAAATGGATCTTCTTAGGTAGCCTGCGTTTTCCCACCTGTTACGGACTGAATTGTGTCCCCCAAAACTCATATATTGAAGCCCTAGCCCCCAGTATGACTGCATTTGGAGATGGGGCCTAGGAAGAAGTCATTAAGGTTAAATGTGGTCATAAGGGTGGGACCCTGACCCAATATGACTGGTGTCCTTACGAGAAGAGACAGACCCCAGGGAAGCAAGCCAAGGACAGGGGTCCCACCAGACACCAACGTGGCTTAATCACGGACTTCCAGCCCTGGAGCTGTGAGAAATCCATGCCTGCTGTCCAGCCACCCGGTCTGGGGCAGTCAGTGAAGGCAGCCCAAGCTGGCCAAGGCACCACCTGATTTCCCATCCAGCTCCGGGAACTCTGGTGCTCTCCATCCTCCAGGCCACCCTCGCTCGC